GTGGACAGAAATGTATCTATATGACCATTTTTAATAAGTTAATTTCTCCCTGTACTGGTTTTGAGTGGACAGAAATGTATCTATATGACCATTTTTAATAAGTTAATTTCTCCCTGTACTGGTTTTGAATAGCCTTAGGCAAAGGCAAACTGTCTACCTCTACATTTCAAAGTCCCATCTCATAGATGCTGTTCATTGCAGATGATGTGTGTGTGGCACTGGGGTGTGACTTGGCAGCCTTTTTGTTTTTCAGAAGTAGATACTAAATAGCCAAAGGTTTAAAAAAAAAAAAAAAAAGTACTTTTTAAAACATACCCCAGTTTAGGTCTTTGGTGATTCCACACTGACTCCTGCTTTCACAGGCACTGAGCATTCTTTCCACTCCAGCAAGCGGCAGATACTGGAATTGAAGTTGGATTTGGAGCCTGTTTTGTTTTGTTTTGTTTTGAGACAGGGTTTCTCTGTGTAGCCCTGGCTGTCCTGGAACTATCTCTGTAGACCAGGCTGGCCACAAACACACAGAGATCCGCCTGCCTCTGCCTCCCTAGTGCTGGGACTAAAGGCGTGCACTACCACTGCCCAGCAATGGAGCCAGTTTTAACATATCTAGAGCAATATGTTCTTTGTTGAAAATAGACGCAAGTGTGAGGAAATGTTATTTTTTTTTTCCCTCAAGGCAAAGGAATGCAATACCAATGTCCTCATAAGTTGGAATTGGAGGGACTTTTCTTTTTCCCTCTGTGGAGTTAGCCTCCAGATTTGAGCTACTTTATCAGACAGGGGAGAAGCTTACAGGAGTCTAACAGTAGCTGTTGCACATGTGGCCCTGGGAACATGAGGAAGGCAGTTTATGTCCAGGACATTTCTCCCAGGTCTGGGATCCTTCTGGCTCTAACTGTGGACCTTCTGAGCCTGTTATTCTTTGGAGGGATCACTGGGCAGTGTGAAAATGAGTAACACAGGGCTCCATTTTTACCTTGTAGTTTGAGTTCATGTTGTGGGTGTGGTTTGGACTTGTCTCAGTGTGATCACATGTAGCCCTGCTTCCTTCCTTCACAGTAGAGTCTTCTGTTTTTAACCTGTTTTGTTGATGTTTTATAAAATAGCTCTGGTGTTTAGTCCCTGTCTTAAGTGTGATGGTTAGCTTTCTTTTGTTCTTACCACACCAATGTCTAATTTTGCTTAAAAGCTGTTTCTCCCACTCCGCTTTCCTAGCCTCTTGCATGGAATGTTGAGCTCATTTATGCTGGAATTATTTGTTTAATTATTAGTGGTTTTAGTAGCATGGATTTTCCTTTCAATATACTTCAGCCTATTGTGAGCTCATGTGTGTCTTATCAGAAATCCATAGTCTCGGCTTTTATTAGCATTATCACCTGAGGATTAGTGAATGCTTGAGAGTTTCTAATGGGACTGGTTTCCCCATCCTCACTGTTATCTTTCTCTCTGCCCTTTTGTGCAATTACATTTCATTTCAGCTGCGTTCCTTCTGTGAGGCAGGGGCTGGGGGTGCTGGGGAGGGAATGCAGGAGGAGAGCAACTCAGCCAGCACCACTCCGCCCTCTTTGGGATTCAGTGCCAAGCAAGACACAAAAGCACCCTCACAATAAGTTGGAATAATGGCGAGTATGGATGATGCCCCAATACTTCTCCACTTGACTGTGTTTCAAAGTCACCGTTTTCCCACTGCAGCAAACATTTGGTGTTAGAGCTGGGACTTTGCATCTTTTATCCTGATATTATAGAGCCAAAGGGGTGAAAAATTACTTGTAAATGCCCCCATTTTATTCCTTACTAATTTCATACTGAGCTCCTGAGGCCTCTGGCTGTCACAGGCTATGAGTGTCCTCTTAATCTCCTTTGTTTACCTTGTTCCCTGAGCAAGAATGGCTGCAGTATATGCCTGACTCTTGGTAAGCAACTGCTGGATATCCTTACATGTAGTTCTGATGGCCTTTTCCTGAGGCTTCTTATAAATGCTGAGATCTAAAGCACCCTTAGTTCATGTGAGGGCTGCAGTTGCTGGTTCTACCTGTAATAAAAGTTTAAGACATGTGTAAGTAAGTGCTGCTGTTTTCTGAATAAGCAAACCCTATTTTTAAAGACCTAAATCAGAAGAGAATTTTTATCAGCATAATTCATGCACATTAATTTAAAAAAATCGCCAAGTACTGAAAGGCTTATTGAAACCTGTAATACTCCCTGTTTCTCTACACACTGCCCTTTCCACTCCCTCCCTCCCTAGAGGCAGTCCTTCCAGCTTGGTGGTTTCTTCTTGAAGTTTGTGCCACCATTCCACCCATGTGTGTTTGCTAGAGTTTCTTGATCCACCTACTTTAGATAGTATATATACATGTTAGCTTAGTTTTCTAGATCCAGTTTCCACCTTCCTCCAAAAACCCATCACAATAGTTGAACCATTTTTGTTAAATGAGCATTCAGGGTCTTAATGACTAACATTGTGTATGCAGGCATTACTGTACAGTCAGGAGGTAATTCAGGAGTATTCTGTGCTTTCTTGAATAGTTTACCTGGTCATTCCAACTCTCTTTTTAAAAAAGTTCCAGGACAGTGAGTTGGCTCAGCAGGTAAAGACACCTTCAACTGAGCCTGATGACCTGAGTTCAATCCCAGAAACCCATATGGTAGACCATATGTATTCTGTGGCATGTGCATGCCCCTCACACAAATAAATAAACAAATGTAAAAGTTCTTTTTACCAAATTAGCCATCTATTCCCTAGACTGATATGTAATCTTAAAGTTGTTTATTTTTATTACATATATCATGCCTCATGCCACAATTGTGCTACCAGGAAGGTCTGAGTTGCCCGTGTGAACCAGTTGTTTTTAAGACCTGCAGCTCATTGGGTATCCCAGGATCCCTGTTACGGTTATTAAGTAGGACCCTCTGACTCTTGTGTCCTGTATTCTCTTTTATCTGGTCTGTTCCTTCACTTTAGTAAAGGAAATTCTTGGGTAGTTGTCCAGTACATCATGATAAAAGCTGCTGAATTTCTTCCTCTTAAAGCAACTTATAAATGATTCTTGAGAAATCTGGTCATGACCTGATTTCCTTTGTTGGCACAGAATGGAGTCTTTGAGGAACGTTAACAAGATCCAGCTCTTCTCTCTCTCTCTCTCTCTCTCTCTCTCTCTCTCTCTCTCTCTCTCTCTCTCGTGTGTGTGTGTGTGTGTGTGTGCGCGTGCATCTGTCCGTCTGTCCGTCCAGGGAGGACATGGGTGGCAGCCTGACGTACAGCTCATATAGGTATTGGATAGGCTGAACATGGCAGAGAATACAGGCAGTGACCTGAGAACTAGTTAGTGGTGTGGGCTGTTGAGCCAACATGGCTCAGCCTCGGTTTGAGTGAAGGCATCAGGATTTGTTTGCCATCTAGACGAATATAGATGATTTGAAGAAGTCATGGGGTTCTGATTCCATCAGCTAAAAACAAACAAACAAAAATGCAGCTGTGGTGGTGCACAACTTTAATCCCATTACTTGGGAGGCAGAGGTAGGGGGATCGCTATGAGTTTGAGAACAGCCTGGTCTACATTGTGAATTCCAGGATAGGCAGAGAAACCTTGTACAAAAAAGCAAACAATACAAAAACAAAATCAAACACTGCCTCTCTGTATGCCTTTTTTTCCAGCATTAAAAAATAATTTAAAAAAATATATATATATATATATGAGTGCTTTATCTGCATGTATGTCTGTACAACATGTGTATGCTTGGTGGCCGGGGAGGCTAGAAGAGAGCATTGGAATCCCCTTGGACTGGAGTTACAGATGCTTACGAATTGCCATGTAGGTGCTAGTAATCAAACCTATGTCCTCCGCAAGAGCAGCCAGTGTTCTTAACCCTGAGCCATCTCTCTCTGGCCCCAGCATATAGCTTTTCTTAACGATTCTTTTTGGTTGTTGCTAGTTCACTTACCATTCCTTGGGTCCTCAATGTCTCTTCACCCACTTGCTATGCTGCTACAAAATATGTCTGTTCGGCCTCTTTTCAAGCTTGACCTCCTCTTCTAGACTTCTTTCCTCAAAGCCATTGCATCTGGGTAGGCACCTTGCTGTTTCCCGGCACTAGACTTTGAATCCATTGTGAAGGTTAGCATTGTGAGTGCTCGGCATCAAGTTTTAGACTACATTGAGCCATCCTATCTCCTGGGTTCACACACCAAGTGCTCAGTCATCACAGAGCTTGCTTCTCATCTCTGGAAGTATTTGCTCACCCTGAGTCTCTTAACCAGGTGCTCTGTAGGTAGATGACTGCTCATGGAAAAGAAGGTTCTTTATGTGGAACACTATGCCCAGTGAAACATGACAGAGGGTGTGGGGGAATCTGGAAAAGAGCCCTGAGTTGCAGCATAGCCATGTCCTCTTGGCATGTTCACCTGAGTCAGTGTGGCAGTTGATAGCATCTTTCACCATGAGGCGTTATGGAGAAGAGACTGGCTAGAGCTTTGAAATAACCTTGCTGGGGACATGACCAGTGTGTTTCACTCTGTAAGCCCTGTGCTGTTGTAGAGTGTCTGTACTGAAGGAGTTAGCTAGCATCAGGTGGCTGGTGGACAAGGTAGCTCCAGGGCTCGTCTTCATGTGAGACTGTGAGAGCAACCAGACTGATGCCATGAAGGTCCCCATCTCTGCCCTTTTTTGTTTGTTTGTTTGGTTGGTTGGTTGGTTTTTGAGACAGGGTTTCTCTGTGTAGCACTGGCTATCATGGAACTCACTCTGTAGACCAGGCTGGCCTTGAACTCACAGAGATCTGCCTGCCTCTGCCTCCCTAGTGCTGGGATTAAAGGTGTGTGCCACTACTGGCTGGCTCTATCCTTGCCTTTTAAAATCTTTATTTCCATCAGGGTTTGACATAATTGTGGACACACATTCAGGTGTTTCCTTTTGCCCTTCGTCACAGCCCCCTCTCCTGTCAGCTTTATTTCTGATTTATTTCTTTTCCCTCTCATATTCTATAACTTCTTTTCATTCCAGCTTTTGAATCGTAAAGACAAAACCACTTTTGAGAAACTGGACTACCTGATGTCCAAAGAAGACAACTACAAGCGGACTCGGGACTACATCCGAAGTTTGAAGATGGTGCCCAGTATTCCCTATCTAGGTATGAGTCTCTATTGGCTTATTTTACCATTACTTTTCTAAGGGAAATGTGAAATAAGATGCTTTTTTTCCAGTTTCTAGTTGAGATGTTTCTGGGAAGCAGCAAGGATCAAGGATAAAGAAGGGATTTGGTGGTTCCTTGGTTTGGAACAGACTAGTGGTGCTTTCTAGGATAGGAACACAAGTAAGGTGGAAATAAAGATGCTCTGTCTCACACACCTAGTCTCCAAGGACCCTAGTCTCCTATTCCTTGAGGGCTCCAGGCTCCCTGGCTTGGAGGACCCCAGGCTTCTGGGCTGTGAGGAACACAGGCTTCCTGGCTGCAGCCTAGATGGGTCAGGATGTCCACAGCAAACTTCTTCCTGGTTCGTGCAGATCCTCCCACACAGGGGGATCCCAGGCAAAAGCCCTCTGTTGTAGATTTTTAGGCATTATTAATATGTCTCACAAAATTTGTGCAAATGAAATTCTAGTAATATTTGCTGAGTTTTCTTGTTATAAAATATTATATGTTCATTAGCAAAATTGGGTGGAGAAAGTCTATAGTTATCCATGAAAGACATTTTTGCTCTGTATCTCACTCCTTTTGGCATGAGGAAAAACAATCTGTGTACTCACTTCAGACACCTCATGTTGTATGTACTTTTCTGTACTGTGGCTCCCTCCTTACTCCTCTCTATTGCCCGTCGCTCACAGTTTATATTTTTGTAGTGATCGTCCTTGTGCCATAGGAAGTTTTGCATGTGCATATGATTATTGCTTTATAATAACTTTTTGGAAGAGCAGGTAACGAGATCAGCATGAATGTACAAAGCACACCTTGAAGGGTCTTCTTTTAATAAGGTCTTGTGCTGCTGCTGCTTTCTTCCTCTTCCTCCTTCTTGTTTCTTTTAGTTTTTCATGATAAGGTTTGTCTGTGTGGCCCTGGCTGTCCTGGAACTCACCCTGTAGACCAGGCTGGCCTCAAACTCAGAGCTCCTCCTGCCTCTGCCTGCTGAGTGCCTCCTGGATTAAAAGTGTGTGCCACATGCCTGGCAAGCATTTTCTATTCAAGTTTATTTTTCTTTCTTTTTTATTTTGTCAGTTTGATACATGGAAAATTCTGTTTGTAGTTTGATCTCAGGGAAGAATCTATCCTGTTCTGACCTGAAACAGTTTTGATAGGCAGGAACGGAAAGGCCTCTCTAGACATACCCCTGATACTCAGGGTTAGGGGAGCCCTTTACACAGCCCTCCGGCAGCTTTGGAAACTTCTCCAGGTAGCACTTCATACTTGCATTTTCTGATTGTTTAAAGCCATCTTGGAATTTTTTTTTAAAGTAGGGCACTATCTGTTTGATCTGTCCTTTCAAGATTATTAGCATAAAGGGGTTTTTCCCCCTCATTTAACTTTTGATTATAGTATAGTAAGCAGTTTTTTCTTATAAATATGAACTTCTCTCTATATGTGGTTATATTTATTTAATTTTCAAACTAGCTCTCACTGTCTAGCCCTGGCTGGCCTGGAACTCACTGTGTAGTCTGGTCTGGCCTCAAACTCATTCTGCTTGTCTGCCTCGTGAGTGCTGGGATTACAGATGCATTTGCTTTTCACGGTCCTCATGAGTTTATATTGTTGCCCCTCCCCCTCTCTTCTCACCTCATCCCTTCTCTTCTCAAGTCCACTCTCAAAGTCCATCTGTTGATCTTCCCAAATATTTAAATTTTAGATTTTGGATTTTTAAAAGTCAGTTACACTGTCTGTTTTTTATCTTACTGCATTTTCTTGATGTAGGGTGTGTTTGTTCTTTACACATTTTAACTCCTCTGAAATTGATGATAAGGCTTAGTAATAGTTTTAATTGGTAGTAATATTCTTAGTAATAATAAAGATATGAATAACATTCTAATTTGATGGAGTAATGATGTGTATAAATACACACACATATGAGGATGTATATAAATATGCATATGTGTACACATGTGTGCATGTGCATATGTCTCACTCTTGACCATTGTTTGGAGTTAGTATTTTAAGCTGCCTCCCTGGCTTTACCCGATGTGAGAGGCTTTGTTTTCTCTCTCTTTCTCTTTTGTTTCCCTGTGTAATCCTCTCCTTTTCCCATTCTCTTCTGTCTTGCTGTAAGCTGCCATGTGTCTATTTTTGGTGGCTGTCCCAAGAGGGAATACATGTGGGCGCTCTAATGTGGTTAAGAATAGTCCTTTCTTTCCCCAGCTCTCATTTTTTTCTTTCTGAGACATGTTTTCATATATTTTAGGCTGGCCTTGAGGTCTTTGCGAAGCCAAGAATGGTCTTGAACCCCAGATCCTCCTACCTCCATTTTTTTTTTTTTCAACACAAGTTCTAATTGGCCTTAATAATAAAAACTTGGAGTCAGATATTAGGGGTTGAAAGCTGAATGATCAGAGAAGCAGAGCAGCCAGCCAATAGAGTTCTTACCTCTATGAACTCCTCAGACTGAAAAGAGATGGAGTTCCTGTCCGTCCTCCCCCCCAAGTATTCCTCTCTCTGCCTAGCCATCTCACTTCCTGTCTGTCTGTACAGACCTCCTGATCTCTATGGTTAGCTAGTGGCTAGCTCCTCCCTCTGATCTCCAGGCAAGCTTTATTTGTTAGAGTATAAACAAGTATCACCACATTCCCCCCTCTTTCGTCTAAAAATAAAAAATAGTTTATAACTAATATAAGAAAAACTATATATAATAGCTATATACAGTATATATACAGACAATAAACACATCAACAATGTTTAGTCCATTAACAATTGACAAATTCAGAGAAAATACTCCATATCTATCCTATCTTGGTGAGTCCAAAAGGTTGTACCTAATTCACTTTTATTTTAATTTGCATTACCAAACCTATCTTTTAATGTCTCTCGACTTTATACACTTTACATTTCTTTAGTGAATTTGTTTTCTGAATCTGGCAACAAGGAAAACTATAACTGTAAAGTCTTCAACTTCATCAGAGACCCCAGAAGAAGATAATATTAATTGAGTAAGCAGGAAATGCAGGCAAGAGACTTTCAAAAAATGTGAGAAATGACAGAAACAGCTGGCTGCCTGGACAGCAACCTAAGGTTCCTCTGCAAATTGGGACATCCATCTTCAGCCTATATGACTTTTCTGCGAAGCAGGATTATTAAAGGGCTATCATACCTTGTCTTAGCAAAGTTCAATAGTCCTTTGTTTTGTGTCCTGTTTGTCCAATTTGGACAGCATGTTGTCAACAGTCAAGGCAAGAGCACTTTCTTCCCCAGTGGCTAACTTTTGCCACAAAGGAAGTGAACTCCATGTGGAGTTTTTTCAGTGCTCATCATCTTCTCTGAAGTAGATTGGTGCTACCAGAAGCAAACATGTTTCATTGTTATATTAAAAAAAAAAGAAAGAAAGAAAGAAAATCAAAAATGAACCTATGTTATTGAAACATCTTAGCCGGGTATTGGTGGCACACACCTTTAATCCCAGCACTCGGGAGGCAGAGGCAGGCAGATCTCTGTGAGTTCTAGTCCAGCCTGGTCTACAGAGCTAGTTCCAGGAAAGGTTCCAAAGCAATACAGAGAAACCCTGTCTCGAAAAACAAACAAACAAACAAACAAAAAAAAAAACATCTTAAATACCATAGTCTGCAGATCTCTGAAGTGTTTGAAGATGATTTCTCTATCTAAAATTTATCTCTGTTTGACCTTGAAGACATGACTACAAGTTTGATTGTTATAGATGACTAACTACTAATTGCATTTCCTTATTATCCTAAATAGTTGGTAATAATAACTTTCAAGGGCTAAAACTTTGCATTACATTGTTAAATGAATTATGTAGATACAATACCTTGAACAAGATTAGAAATTATGTACAGTATGGTCTACAAAAATTCCAAGCCAATGTAAAATGTTTAAAATTAGTAGTTGCTCTTTTGTTTTAAAAGCAGATTCTATAATCTACCTTTTTATCCTATTTCTGTATCCCCCTTTTTTCTTTTCAGAGTAGGTTCAATAATCTACCTGTATATCCTATCATATCTATATCTTCCTTTTCTCTTTCCAAAACAGGAACTTGGACTCTATTTTCCTTTGTTCAACTTTTTTCCTGACCATTACCAATAACAACTTGTAACCAACCCACTAAACAATGACAAATATCCATAACCCAATAAATGACCGAAAACCACATGCCCTACCTCTTGGGAATGTGGGTGTCATAGTCTTAAATTTACTTCCTGCTATCTGGGGGCAGTGGCATCTTTTGGGGATCCTGAAAAGAATAATTTGGGTTAATTGTCAAGTCCTGGGAGAAGTAGCTGTATCACTTGTTGTCCAGTCTCTGCCTAATGGGAAAGTGTAGGGCTTGTCTCAAGTCCTAGCTAGAGTATTCTGTGAGGCTGGGTCACCTCAGCTAGCCAGCCCAAAACTGTTCTGAGCAGTTTGTAGTCCACGGCTGATCTTTAGGTGGCGTTTTTCAGCTTAGTGACATTGTCACAGTCCTGATCGAATTGTCATTGTGGGGCTCCATCCTCCATTTGGAGACTTCAAAGGTCACTGTTTGGCATGGTCATGGTTCACTGCAGAGATCTTAAACATTTTAAATGTCATATGCAGCAGATTTCAAAAAGGTCAAAGGGTGAATATTTGTTATATACGTCCAGAGTACAAAACTTAACTCCTGATTACCTGATAGAGACTCAAACTTGAAATCATGTACAGGAAGCTAGATGAAGCCTTTTTATAGAATTAGTACTCAATATGACTGTAAATATCCTGAAAAAAATGTTAATATATATATATATATATATGCATATATATATATTAATCTTATAAATGTTTAGATAATATTTGTACCTGAAGAAAAGCTTCAAAGACTCAAAAATAGAACCAAAGGATTATGAGATTAATGACAATAGAATAGTCCCTAATTTTTGGTTTTCTTCCGTGCCATATCAGGTGGCTCTTCTGATATGAGATAGAGATTTTGGATTTTACTTTAACAAACATGCTTGGGT